TGCAGATGACTGCTTGAATAGATGTGAGGCACAGAACTGTTCCTCTCTGCTGCGTAACACCAAACCACTTCAGACTGGTTCCCCCTCCTGGCTTGGAGGCTTTGAACACAGCCAGAACAACCATGGTTTTTACCAGGATGCATGAGACACACAGCACAAAGCTGATGCCAAATGCTGCATGTCTGAGTTGGCATGTCCACATCCTGGGTCGTCCAATAAACAGCAGTGAACAAAGGAAACATAACTTGAGTGACAGCAAAAGCTGGAAACTAAGTTCTGAATTGCTGGCACGTACTATGGGTGTTCTGCGATGGTAGATAAAGATCCCTAGAACAACAGTACATATAAATGTGCCCAGTAATGAGGCTGCTGTCAAACAAATACCCAGAGGCTCAAGGTAAGAGAGGAACTCGGTCTTCTTTGGCACACATTGGTCACTCTGGGGGTTTGACCAAAAATCCTCTGGACAACTGGTGCACTCCAAGGAGTCTGATAAATAGGAAAAAGATGAAGAAAGGGGAGGATGGTAAAATGCATATTATAGTTAATATGAATTAAATTAAATATGGCATGTTGAAAGATAAACACTTACTGCTCTTATTAGTGACTTTTCCCTCAGAACAAGGGATGCAGTCAAAACAACATTTAGGTTCCCCCTTCTTTCTCACCATGTGGGTACCAGGAGGACAGCTCTCACTACATACTGATCGAACTGGCTGTTGGACAAACTTAAATATTACTTACTAGAATGAAATTCACTGTACATGTGACAAAAGGTAAAGTCTGAAAAGCCATTTATGACCTTTTTTGATTGAAAGTTCCAGAAGATTTTGTCTTCATCAAGTATGATTTCTTCATCTTTGAAAGTTGACCTTTTAACCTCACCCACATTCTGAACTTTAGTGCTTCCATCAGGGAGCCACAACCAGTTCATAACATCATAAATTGGCACCACATCACCATTTTCATCAAATGACACTTGATCACCAAATGGAGTGGAGAAATTTACCCTTTCCAAGTAATAAAGAAGCTGTTAAAAATTATAAATTAATAAATTATAAAAGTAATATATAAGAAATAGATTTCAAAGTACAGGCAAATTAAATCTAGCACTT